AGGGGCTGTATCCTATCAGCAGCACCCCGGGCAGCTGAGCCATCCACTTTTTGTGCAAAATGGAAAACAGAGGTGCATATGTAAAGCTGACAATTTGTTATGTTATATTGGCATATAACTCATGGATGCTCAAAAGGTCAATCCTTAGGGTGCAGGTCAGCTCTTAGCTTATTACATCCTTCAGGAAACAATTCCTCAGCTTGATGTTTGTATCATGAGGTATTAGTGCTCACCGTAAAGGCAGCTAAAGGCTCTGTGCTTTCATAGATCAGCTGGAGCGTAACTAGCTTTTCAAAGAGCAGGTCACTAAGTAGCACATATTCTTATCTAAAAACGTAATATATGCACATGTTCTGATTCACCTCTGATTTTCACGGTAGGAGCCCCAAGAGCTGCAATAATGCATAGTAGTCCAATTCCAAGGTAGGGTGTGCTACCACGGAGCAGGGGGGAGGTTCGTTTTCTTCTTGTTTCTTTTCCCAGCTACATACCAGACACAGAAAGTGCCAGATTCTGATGAAAGAAATGTAGTTTTCATGGCATGAGATCGTTGTTTGGGAAACAAGGACTGGACAATGTCAGGACAATGATTAACATTTGCTGTGCTTTGGTCCAGGGCTTAGCAACGTTAGGAGTACTAAAAGCTGTAAGTGCTAACACCAGCACTTCCGTGGCATCCTTCTGAGAATCTCTCTGTTCTTAATGAATTTTCAGTGCCTCTCTGTGAGGCTGGTATTATTAGTGTCATTTTGCAGACAAGTAGATAAAATAAAATGCTTGTATAAGCACATTCTGCAAGCCAGGAAAAATCAGGAGTAAAATTCAGGAATATTGATGTTTTGACCAGTTCTTGAGCTACCACCTTGAACTTTCTCTTTCACCAGGAAAGAGGCGAAGGGCATTAGTTTTGGTAGCCCTTTTCTTATTAGGTTAGGAACCCTGAAAGTGAGACATTATGCAACATATCTAAGTATGCATGTGATACTTGAAAAAATGGTAATCAGATAAGTTGCTAGGCGACAGTACCCTGCCTTCAATTACCAAAAAGCCAGCGACTTTGCTTTCATGATGTAATGTGTTCTGTACTTCTTCATAAAGCAAGTGTAGGTGGAGTTTTGTGAGAGTTGCTCCTTTTAACTCTCTTCCTGCTTAACTGCCATACTGCAAGGTCAGATTTAACCCCAGTTTTAGAAAAAAAATCTTCACAGAACCTGAAATCAACAGGGAAAAATGTTTGCTGAGCTCTTCAAGGTAATGAAGTCTATGCAAGTGTATATAAGTAAATAACCTCCTGTCCCACGGGATCCCAGCAGCTTGTGGGAAGTAGACCACAGCTCATCCCTGGCAACATGATAGTAAGGAAAAGAGTGAGAGATTCGTGCCAAAAGGTACGTGGCAGGGATATGTGGCAAGCTGTGAGAAACCTCAAACACAGAGACCCGTTCACCCCAAAGTACCGAGAGCTGTGGCAATGCATGAGAACCCGCGCGTAAAGCCAGCTGGTTCGTTTTCACTGCCCTAGCAGGGAAGGAATGGAGGGAGCATCAGCAGTGAAGTGTACGTGGGGAGACAGCGAGACTCTAATAACATGAGACAGAGCTACCAGCACAGGGGAGTGTGTGTGTGTATGTGTGTGTTTGAAACCTGACTTCTTTTTTTATTTTTTTAAGACAGATTGCAGGATAACAACAAGAAGAAATAAAGGCTCTTGGCAGTTATTCCAGACCTGTTTCTGCTTTTTGGTGATAAACGGCCACAGAAGCGTTTGCAGATACTGGAGGTGTGTGTGGGTGCCAGCACCTGCCTGTGCCTCTTCAGCTCTTGGGTGGTGGCAGGGCTTTTAGGAGGAAAATGTGAAACTGGAGGTCTGATGTGCTCCTCGAGGCTTTGCTAGAAGCCTTTAGTAGGAACAGTGGATGGCTGTAGAGGTATTTGGGAAAGTATTCTCCTAACCTTCCAGATACTTTGTTTTTCTCAGGAAATTGCTGCTTTAGAGAGTTGGGTTTGGAACCTTGTTGCTGCTGCTCCTCTTCCAGAAGGGGGATTTCCTCCTGGGGAGGTGGGGATGGGGCAGTGGTGGTGTGCCCTAGCTGTAGCTGCACTTTGTATTTCTTCTCTACAGTCTTTTTTTCTTCCCTTCCTCTTGGGAAGGAGGCTCAGCCACACCTCCCATGTTTGGGGTGGCAGATATTCAGATCCCAGCTGGTCTGTGTGTGGGTTCAAAAGTCCTGATCGAAAGGCATTAGGGAAGGAAGGGTGTGTTGGGGTCCGGTTGGCAGTGACACCTGCACCATGCTCCCTGTAAGCTGTGCCAGAGCGGGGTGAGTTTCCGAGAAGACAGATGCTTGCTTTCTATTTCCAAACCTGGCACTTTCTCCCCAGGAGAAGCCTAGATAAATTGAGCCACAGTGCTGCTCAGTGTCTTTGTTGATGGAAATGTTCATTTTCATCACCAGGTAGTTGCATGGACCTGAGCTTTCTTTGGAGCACTTTGGAAATCAGGAAAAAGCATAAGCAGATGGTTGAAGGAAAATGCAAGTAACCATTTAGCAGTCAGGAATTTCATCTCCATTATTCTCGTTTGATGAGTGCTATTGCTGAGCTGTACTAAAGTGCAGGCACTGATAAGGAAGCCTGAGTCTGTGGGTTTTAGATTTTGAAATCAAGCCCTTACCTTCAGCTCTACCTCTCCGCTCATGTTCCAATGCAGTATTTGCTAATGAAGAGTTTCCTCAGTGTTTATTTTCTTGCAACTGTAGATATGCAGGAAACTAAAGCTATGATTTCTCAAGCATTTTGAGCTCTTAGAAATGAAAAGCTTCCTTCTGTTTGTTTTTCTTCTCAAAAAAAGGAATTCCTTCCTGCTGGGTGGTGGCCTGTGAGCCAAACCTGGGAAGTGATACGGCTGAGAGCTACCAGCTTTTTGGGGGGTATTGGTCAAATGGATGACACATCCCTTGGTCCGGGTCACTGTGGCACCTCGTGGGTGCCAGGGAAGGGGCTGAATTGTGTGGCAAGGTGCAGAGCAGGGCGGCGTTGTCCCAAAGTTAGGTTAATTGAAGCCTCTGGGGAACAGCAGCCATATGTAGGTGGGTTCTGGTGAGGCATCTGCATTGTCCTCCTGCAAGAGGGCCTGCTCGGCCCCGCTCTGTCCCTCTTCTTCCACGCCAAGCCTTTGAGACAGGAGGGAGCACTCGAACTGTGATACCTTGAGCTCAGCTGGCAATAAATATACCCCTTCCAAAATGTTGCTTTTGCTTGTTCCAGAGTGTGTTCAGCCCTGTGACAGACACTGGGGTGTGTTCGTGACAGTTCCTCATCTGCGGTGGGAGATGGGATTTGTTTCTTACCTGAACAAAGAAGCAAACCTGTTCCTGAGGCACAGCCCATGGGCTAGGTGCAGTAGTGTGCTTCCTAATGCTCAGGTGTGTGCATTAAAGGAGTCGGGAGCCTGTTGTTCTTCACTGTTTTTCAAATCAATTTGCAGACAAATAGATCTGACTATGTAAAAGAGGTTCCCGGTATTCTATAAAAAGCGTTTCTTGGAAATACTCCTTGAGATGTTGTTTACATGTGTCTGATGAATAGTTCAGCAGAAACCTATACCCAACTGTGACAAAACGCGTACAATGGAAGTCGCATACGTGCAAATCATTTATGGGAACATTAAGTTTACAGCAATTTAAACCAGAGCTGGTTAACAACAAAGTTCTCTTCCAATCTGATGTACCTGGCTGTTAAAATAGCAACTACTGCTCATGCTAAGAGAGGCTCCAAAGTAGATGCAAGAATCGGTGCACATGCAGAAAGCACTGAATGTGTCTCTATAATACCCATGCTACATTGATTTAATTAGTGGTTTTATGCTATTCATCACTCCGTTAATCTTGGTGGGAAGGTTTTGTTGGGGGAGGATTAGTTATTCAATCTGCGTTTTTAATTGGAGTGTTTTTGTAGTTCAGTGTTATCTAAATAAAAACAGTGGTTTGTTTGGTTTTTTTGTTTTTTTTTTTTTTTAAGAGAAAATGTTTTGTTTCTCTTGAGTTACTGTTGGATTTAGGTGTTCAAAAACTCAGATTCATCAGGATGATGTGAAGATCCCATTTGTTACACAGTCTGGCACATAAATGTTCCTGCTCTGTAACGTCTTCACATGCAATTAATCCAGAAAACGTCTCTGTATAGACAAGCCCTGCGAGTGTAAGATCTGTGAGGCTGAAGCTAGTACGGTGCTGGATATTTTTGTGTTGGAGCTGGCACCTCAGGGTGTGACTTATGTGAAAACCAGGAGCGTGGCATCCTAAATGTCAGTGCTTGAAGAGATGGAGACGCTTGCGGGCTCTGCTTGCTGCCTGAGCCTGATGCAGAGGTGAAAGGCAGTCTCCTCGCCAGAGCAGGGGAGAAGCAGCGGCGCATGTGGCCCCCAAAACGGGCTGGGGTGGGGGGCAGTGGCAGGGACCTGCCTACGTGAAGGCATGGAGGGGGGGGAGAAGAAATGAGAGATGCTGGGAGAAGTGAGGAGGTGGGGGAGATGGGCAGGCAATGTTAGGAGAAGGAGGGTTGGGATGAAAAGGAGTCAGCAGCTTACTTAAAAAAAAAAATAAATAAAATGTAGAGAACATTGGCAGACCCTTCAAGGGTTAACTGAGACCTTGGCTGAGATGGTAGCGGTGAGGAACCTTTGGTCACTGGCTCCAGTGAAGTTGACCCGGTGTTTGCTGTGGCTGGGCTCCAGAGGGACAGTGAAGAGCGGAAAGACCCAGCCCAGAGAGGGGAGAGGCAGCTGCCAGGAGCAAGCCTGGGCGAGGGGCAGGTACAGGCACACCTGGGGCTCTACAGGGGTCAGGCTTCCCGCACCCTGTGTACTGGAGCTAAGCTCTCTGCACACCTAGCTCTTTCAGTGCCTAAAGCCTCTTAGACTGCGCTCGGTTGAAATAAAACTGTGCTGCTTTGCTCTAGGAAGGCTGCCTGCTTGGCGTATTAGCTGTTGGTCACACGCAGCGGGCTCGGAAGCGGCAGGCGTCTGAGGAGGCTTGGACCTGCTGGAGACAACCCAGCTGCTCTGCGGATGCTGTGAGCCAGGAGCAAAGCGGGGCCCAAAAGCGGGAGAGCTCCAGGATCCCTCCCCAGAAGAGGTAAGAGCTGGGGGCTGAAAGCAGCGGGAGTGGGCTCTAGGGCAGAAAATCAGAGCAGTTCTCCAAGCACAGAGGTGAATGGGTTGTGAACGTGACCTTTGAAATTCAAATGTGCAGAGTGGATGGGTGATGGTCAAGAGGTGAAGTGATTTCCACCAGTTCAATCTTTGAGTTGCTTTTCGGAGGTGTAAATAAGGTCACTGTTTGCACACGTTGCCCTTGATTTCATTCTGCTTTGTGTCACGTTGTTCTGATCGCTCGTAATTTGTATTGCCAAACTTATTCCAGTGCTATTGTCTCTTTAAAACCTCACACACACACGGCCTCAGGCAGTTAAAACAATCAGGACAGTGGAACAGTGTCTCTGAACTAAAGGAGAGCAGTAGGTAAAGAGCGGAGGGTTGATTTCTCTGGTAGAAGCCCAGGTGTGAGTCAGATGATGTGCAGTCTATTCCTGGCCCTACCAAGCAGTGCAGTCTCTGCACCTGATTCACCAACGTGCTACTCTGCTAATCTTCTCAGGCTCAGCTTGCCTCTGTCTGTTGCAGCCTGCTACACTTGCGTAGAGTGGATGTAAAACGCTATCAAATCAGAAGGTGATTTAAAACCTGGAGCAAAGCTTTACATTGATCCTGGCAGATGGGCTGGACACTGCGGGACCACGACAGCAGTCTGCACACCCTGCTGCCTTTTCAGAGCACTCTGTGAGTCTGTGGTATGTGGTGTGGTGCCCAACAGGGGGCTAAGTGCTGGTGCTCTGATACGGCTTGCAGTTCAAGCTATAGTCTTGTTTTCTGTGTGGTGGGTGAGGCTTCACGGTAGGTTGTGCACAGTGCTCTATCTGACTGGGAGCTCGCTTTGAATTTTCGTTATGCACCACCTCCACATGCAGACTTGCGTAGCACCTGCCTCCCTCAGCCTGCCCTCTGCCTCAGGGGTCTCATTGCCATCTCTCAATGACCAAGCTGACCAAGTCAGCTGCTGGAGGAAAGCAGCAGGCTGAACTGTGGCAACGCTCGTGGTGAGGGGTCAGCTGCTGCCTCGGGCTCTGGGTGTGTTTGTGCTGCTGGTTGTGTAGCCGAACATGGGGCTTCAGTTGGTCAAAACACGTCACTGCTGAGCAGTAAGGCTCGGGCCAGTGCTGCAAGGTTATGACAAAGCAAGTGTCAGCAGCTTCCCGGGAAGGTTGCTGCTGCTGGACTGAGCCCTGGAACGAATCCAGCCGTTTTGTCAACGATGCAGCTCTGAGTGCTTCTGAAGAAAGCCGTGTCTGGCAAGCGCTGTGGTGTATGGTGCTATTGCTGCGAGTGGAGCAAATGCTGCTTATCGCATGCCCTCAAGAGCCATCAAAGGAAGCGCAGACGTCTCCTATTACTGTTAAAACAAAAACTGAGTGCCGCATGGGCACAAGAAAACATAGATCCATTGGCAGCAGAACAAGACTATGAATAATTCATTCCTCCAGTGCCTCCTGTATGTTCCATCCACTCAGGCTGTTCAGGATGCTGGCTGCCGGAGATGGAGACAGATCTGCTTCCACAGCCACGGGGACATGACCCTGCAGGCTGTGATCAGCACTCTGCTCACCTTGCCCTCCACAAAACTGGCTTGTGCACTGTTGTTGTGACATCCTTGAGGACACAGCGGTAACCTTTGATCATCCTGTGGGCTGCTGGTAAGAACTCAAGTAGCACCAACAAAACTGGGATGCGCCCACTAATAGCAGCCTGGAATTGTCTGTGAGGTGGGGGAAATGAGTCAGGACCAAGGTGGAAGTGTTGACTGCTCTTGCCAGTTTTGCAAAAGGTGGTAAGGGGGTCATCTGCTGTAAGCCTTCTGAGCACAGCTAGGGTTTGATTTTTCCTTCCATGTGGAGCACCTTAGTGAAGAAAGTATTGGGAACTTCTGTAAAATACATTTATTTTTTTTTTCTCTACTCATTTACTAGTGGTCGTTTGTCTGCATAGTAGTTAGAAACCTTATTGGCAGCTGAAGCTGAGAGGTGCCAAAAACTTATGAAACTGCAGAGGCTAAATTCTCTGCTCATAGCACGAGCTGTGCTGAGCTCAAGAAAGAGGTGCATTGGGAGCTCAGGGTGAGAGAAAGCTTTGCTGAAGGTTCATTCAGAGGTTGTTCAGCACAAAATACACTGATGTGGAGGGATTTCTACTCTCTTTTGCTTTTTCCCTCTGACCTCTTGGTATGAAGATTCCTTCAGCCATGTCATGTACCCAGGCTGCAACATGCATACCATACTGCAGAGTTTTGGCTATTTTCCCCCATTTTCCTTCTAAATCTTCCAGATTTGCTCTTGGCTATTAGACTTGCTGAGAGGTATTTACACTTTTAGTGTGGGTAAAGCTACCTGTAATTAGCAGCTTCTACAGAAATGATGGGCTTCTTAAAGCAAAGAAGAGGTGACTTGTAATGTCCCCTACTTGATTTTGAGAGCAGTTCAAATGTTCTTCCACAAATATAAGCTCTGAGGAAGGAAACTCAAAGGCATTTCAATCAAGTCACTATAACTCCCAACCTGTAAAAAGGGTTTGTCCTCCTGTGATCTGGGCAGCAGCGAGAAGAGGATAGACTGGAAGAATACTTATTTTTTTTTAAACTGGAGAAAGAAGTAGACAAACAGAGCAGGCGGTGGATTTGTGGTTTCCATAGTGATGTAACTGTGGAAGCTTTTGTACGGCTGAGCTTTGCCTCACTGCAGTCACAGTTGAAGGCTGTGAGTATTCAGCTCTTCTGCCAGGGAAGTGTAAATGTACATCAAACATAGAAATGGCTGAAAAATGCAACTGCCAGTCTGTCATTTATTATGTTCGTCACGTTACCTGAATACATGGATGTCAGGAAGCTTGGCTGTATCGTGGCTTATTTCTCCTTTCTCTTGTCCTGTGCTGTAACAATGCGCGTGATAATGCTGTGACAGTACCACAGTTCTTGTACCAGTCAGTGATATGCTGACCTGTGTCCTTTGCTTACTTCTCATGTGTACATGCATCTGTGACTCTGCTCATCCACACTGATCTCAAACAAGCACTGATCAAGGAACATATACCTAAGTTTTTCAGCATGTTAACTGATCTCAGTACCATCCTGTGAAGCTGGGCATGTGTGCTTAATGCTTTGTGTAATCATTGCCTCAGCTGTTCCTGTGCAAAACAGAAATAAGCTGCATGTGACATAAAGTCGTTTATTTTAACGAGAATTTTGGGAGTGTTTTGACCTTTTGGGGAATTCTTGTATATGGAGAGAGATGTATGTGACTGTAAGTGGTTGAGTTTGAGAGCATGTAAATCTGGCTTTCAAGAGATGTTGGAGTGCAGAATTTTTCAGTATCATTGGCAGGTCACAGAGGCAGAGGAGAGAGCACCTTAGAGAGGATGTACACATCAGACCCATGCCAGTCCTGTGTGCCCACCTACACAGGCCATTCCCCATGAGTCACAGGCATTTGTGCCTGCTACTGGATGTTTCTCATGCTCACCCCCCCCAGAACAGAGCTCCCTTACCTTGAGCATTTGTTTTGCTTGTCAGATGGATGTAATGGGTCATCTGTTCCCTTTATAGAAAGGAATGTTAATTATTTTCAGAATGCTAATTAGGTTGCTGATGAGGAGCTTTACTGCAGCACCATTTCCTTTAATTACTCACTCAACTGCTGTACGGAGCAGCTTATTGAGGATGCTGTTAAACACAAATGCATGTATCTGGCTCAGAGATGCACCTTCAGGCTCCCTGGAAAAAAAAGCTCTGGTAAATTCAGGAATCCACGTGACACAGATGATTGAGCAGACGAGGCTGGTGCTGAGAGCCGCCTAGTCATGCAGCCTTTTTAACTCGGTGTGAATTCAGCGCTTCTGCAGGCGGCTGGCTGCAGGTGCTCTCCCTGTTCCAGTAGTGCTGTGTGGCTTTGGGCCAGGTCACTGACCACTGGTGCTACCTGCCACACCAAGCTGTAGCTAGAGGCAGCTCTTGCACCAAATAGTTTGGTCTAATTAGCCAGGTGGCAGCCAGAGGCACAGGAAGATGGAGTGACTCATCCAAGGTCATCCCTCAGATCTTAGCAAACCTAGTAATAAAACTGAGGTTTCACGAGTCCTGTGTTGCTGCACTGTACTATTTAGCCTTTTGTGTCTCCCTTGGGACCACTGCATGACTTGCCATCAATTTGCATATTGCCTCATGAGACAGCACATCCTCGTGACAACCCGATTCATGTGTCCACCTTGATGTTGACTTAGGAATGTCCTTTTGCTTCTCCATCTGAGTCCTAGATGCTTCTTGCTTCTCTCCTTTTTTCCCCACCCTTCATTGTAGAGATCTCCATGTCTTTTCGAATTGCTCTGGGAGAGCTACAATATTGTACATGGCACTTTAGTTGTACTCCCAGCATGAGAAGTATTGAGTTGGATCTCCAGCATCCCATACTTTTTAAGTGCTGAGCCTTCCTGCAGCTCTGCAAAACAGCTTCACCTCCTTGCAGCATCCTCTGATGCGTGGTCCAGTCTCTGAGACTTCATCCCAGTCTTCTAAAGCCTCTGCCACCTGATAACACATGCTCTTAATCAGACTCCTGGAATAATTCACACTCCATGGCTCCGCCAGGGAGGATGATGAGGGAGGGCTGCTGAAAGGGAGCTGCTTCCAGGCAGCAGCAGAAGCTCCCTGTGTTTGTATGCTGACCATTATAGAACCAGCCAGAGAAAGAAGAAGGATCTGTCAGTGCTATGGCTGCAGCGCAGAGCTTCATACGTTGTAATGTGCTGTCAGAGTGCCTATATTCAGGTGACTTAAGGCAGAAAGTGAGAAATACCTTAGAAAACTGTTTTCAGCATGGGGTGTGAAAAGTCACCTTCCAGTTCTTGTGCGTTTTCAGGAATGGATGTATGCTGCTAGAACAACTTGTGTCTAACCTCCACACACGGACTGCTGCCTTAGCTGGGCAAATGTGTTTAAAAGTTACCTCTCCATATGCAGCATTTCAGTTAACT